TTTTAATTCATGTAGTCATTAACTATAAAATTTTTTTTTCTTTATGAGACAGTTGTTACGTAGACATGAAATATCCCTTTTCTGTATAAAGCTTTTGTAATTCAGGTTCCTCAAGCTTAATAGAAATCAGAGAGGGAAACTGAACAGAGAATGGCTCAGCAATTAATCATTCTGTGTCTTATTTCAAATTGTGTTATCCACTGGGGGAAAAAAAACCCTCTACTTAATATATTAAAGTTTTATACATTTTTCACTGTCTGCTATTGCATAAAATATTCAAAAACCCCTTGGTATAATAAAATAGCTGTTAGGAAACTTCTTTTGATGATGGATATTGTAATCAAGATGCAAAAAAATATATTCTGTACCAGTTTCTAAAACTGTAAGTAACACAATCTTGAGAAACAACAACAACAACAAAGTATAATTTTTCAAGTTAACTATCCCAATTTAAATCACTGAGGCAACTTTTGGAAGAAGAATATGTGATAATTATTACAAATATTAAAATAATTTTTACTAATGTTACACAAACCCTACCATAGTATTTCTGTATATTTCCATGGCACAGGGAAAACTAAGGCACTTTTAACAACATCTATTGATCAAAATAGGCATTGATGTGGAAAATTTTGTTTTAAAATCAAAATAAACATTTTTTCCTGATAAAAAATATACTTTGGACATGCTCGTCATATTGGAATTTTAAAATGAGTGCTAAGTATTCTTTCCTGGACAGTTTCTGCATCCAGAACACCTTTCCTCTTCTACTTCCTCCTGACTCAATCTACTCAACTCACCTCTCTGCCTTTTCTATCTCCTTAAGCAAAATTTCCTCTTTTCTAACATGACCTATTTTTTATTATTTCCCACTTATCAGCCTATATTAGAGCTGGATGTCCCCACCTCAGCACTATTGCTGTTTGGAGCTAGATAATTTTTTATTGTCAAGGTCTGTCCTATGCACTATAGGATGTTTAGCAGCATCCCTGACCTCTACCCACTAGATGCCAGTAACTGACTACCACTCCCAGATGTGACAACTAAATCTCTCCAGATGTTGCCAAATGTCCTCTGGGGAACAAAATCACCCATTCTTAAGAACCACTGTGTTAGGCGAATGTGATAACCACTGCGCTACGGAAACACAACCCTATCAAAAAGTGGGCAAAAGACATGAGCAGAAACTTTTCAAAAGAAGACAGAATAATGGCCAAAAAACATATGAAAAAATGCTCAACCTCTCTAATCATCACGGAAATGCAAATCAAAACCACAATGAGATATCACTTATCTCCAGTGAGACTGGCCTTTATCAAAAAGTCCCAAAACAATAAATGTTGGTGTGGATGCGGAGAGATAGGAACACTCATACACTGCTGGTGGAACCTCAAACTAGTGCAACCTCTGTGGAAAGCAATATGGAGATACCTTAAAGAGATACAAGTAGAGCTACCATTTGACCCAGCAAGCCCATTACTGGGCATCTACCCAAAAAAGCAAAAGTCGCTCTATAAAAAAGACACCTACACTCAAATGTTCACAGTAGCACAATTCACAATTGCAAAGATGTGGAAACAACCCAAGTGTCCATCAACACATAAGTGGATTAATAAAATGTGGTATATGTATACCATGGAGTACTATTCGGCTTTAAGATACAATGGTGATATAGCACCTCTTGTATTCTCTTGGATGGAATTGGAACACATTCTACTAAGTGAAGTATCCCAAGAATGGAAAAACAAGCACCACATGTACTCACCATCAAATTGGCATTAACTGATCAACACTTAAGTGCACATATAAGAATAACATTTATTGGATGTCGGGCAGGGGGGAGGGGGTAGGAGGGGATGAGCATATGCACAAACAATGAGTGCGATACGCACCATCCGGGGGATGGACATGCTTGAAGCTTGGACTTAGCCGGGGAGCGGGGGCAAGGGCAACATACATAACCTAAACATCTGTACCCCCATAAATATGCTGAAATAAAAAAAAAATAAGAACCACCGTGTTAGAGCAACTTGTATACATAACGTCATATTCACCTTTGAATACATTCCTCACTGTATAGAACTGAGTTGAGGTGGTGTTCAGTAAAGTTTTGTATAACATGTGCAGAATAAGATGGTATTTTAGTATTGTGGCACATTGCTAGAATAACAAACATGTTACTTTTATAAACTGAACTCTCAGTTTCACGTAAGAACTTAAGAATACTTCGACATCCATTTTGGATTTATTTTTCAATGTTTGGAATAGAGAGAGAAAAGAAGACTGTGTTTTCAATATGATAGATCTCATTTGAACTCTGTGGTTCATGAATTTTGTAATGGCACTCAATTATTTATTTGTTTTTTTTTCTTTCTTCTTTTATTTGTTTTTACTACTAGAGAAAGATGACACCAAAATCTATTCCAAAAAGAGAACAAAAATAGAGGAAAGCAGGGTAAAAATAGGAGAGAATGGAGCAAGAAAAAATAGAGAAAAAATAAAAAGAATAAATGATCAAGATACAATGGGCTTTTCCATATTTATAAACTCATTTATAAAAAAGTTGAATTTAAATAAAAATATTTTTTAAAAAATATATCTTTCAACTTGAAAATAGCAAAAAATTCAATTAAAAGTCACTGACTTTTTTATTATATTTAATACTAGAGTTAATTTTTTTAACTCAGACAAGGAGAAAAATAGCAAAGAGAAAGAGATGAAAAAGGAAAATCTTTAAAAAAGAAAGGAAATGATGAAAATGGAGTAAGGGGAGATTTTATGAAAATAAGAAAAATAAAACATGAATCCTTTAAAAAGTACACTTAGATTTCTAAAGACTCACAGGATTTTTTTATACAACATTTAAGTTGATTAAATAATACTTGAATAATGATCCAATGCAGTTTGAAATAATTTCTCTGAAGAGTATGAACTAGAAATTAAGGGACAAAACAACTCTTTGTGTTGGATAATAAAGTAAAGGAAAACATGTAAGTTTTTTCCAACTAATACTTATTTACAAGTTGAATTTCATTAATCAGTTCTGTATTCCTGGTTTTTAAAAAAAGATAGAAAAAGCCCAAGTAATGGAGAAAAATCTATTTAAGGTATTTAGCCTTTATAACTATAATCAAAGAGATATGGATATGATGGTTCAGAGCACAGAGCCTAGATCTAGTTGAATTAGAATCTGCTTCCCCACTTTTTAGCCATGTACCTTGATTGGTTTTGAGTTCTCCAAGAAATAGAACCTGAGGCAAGCGTTCCAGGGTAAGCTACCATCACTGTTTATTTGATATATGGTGATTACATTCATAAAGTTCAGAAAACCTTGAGGGAGCATGGATTCAGGGAGTAACATTTTGAATATTTCTGTATCTCTTAACAGTCCCTCATGAGCTCAACTCTTTTTCCTTTCTGGAACTATCCCACAATATAAACTGGATTTGTATTCCTTATGAAGAGGGATGTTTGTTTTGTAGTGTTTAATTGAATACTATCAGAAAGCACAAAATGTTGAAGTGTTAAAGCCAAACACCTACCTGGCACTTACCTTAGCATGTCATCAATATATTTAGAAAAATTAATGTATCCATGAAGAAACAAAGATAAGTCCAGAGTATTTTCACCACAGTTAAAAAAAATTACCTGTATTTTCTCTTTTCTGGGAATCTTTTGTGAATGAAGACAGTGTCCTCATTAATTTTTATTATGTCTGTAGTATAATTTATTAGATCCTGGAGTTTGATCCTGCCTTTGGCTCTTTTTGACTCATATTGACATTTTCAATAACCTCTCAGAAAAGCCAGATCTTAAACGCATGTCGTCACCAAAATATAATAAATCACAAAGCAATGTGAAAGAAAGATTTTTGAACAGTAATATCCTAGAAGCTTATGAGATGGGAACTTTGCCATATGAAACATGAGTTTCAAATAAAATACAAAGCCTGCCTCTTCGTCCATTTAAAGGAAAAACTTGGAGTTTTTCTCACATGAAATTAGGATAAAATAAGATTTCCCTTATGAAAATATCAAAGCAGGAGATTTTAGATTTAATTCAGGATTTAGGGAATTATTATCATTTTTTGGGAAGTTACCAAGACCGGAAAACACTGAGTCTTCCACACTAAATTGAAGAAAACATTATGGTCATGACTATTCAAAACTAGGTTTTACTTAAAGTAGTTTTATGGAAGTCAAAATTACCAACAAGAGTCAGCCATTCCTTATAGTTTTAGTATTAAATATAACCTAGTGCTATTGAAATTATTTATAAAATTATAACTCATGAATGCTAAAAAAAGTTGGTATTCTGTTAACTATAATCTTCCATTCTTAATGATACTTCAATTTACTATAGCAAAAATTATTAATACTATTTATAATAATTCCGATGTTAAATTTTGGTTTAGTGTTCAGTTTAGCTTATTCTTAGCTTAAATGTGTTACTTACTCTGTGAGGTTTGAGTATCTATGAATTTCTTTATCAAGGCATCGGTAGTTTGGGTATAAAGACTGAGAGCATATCTCAGAGACTGAAGATCTGGGCTTTTCTCCAAGAAATTCTTTTTCAGGCCATTTCCTCCTGCATGAAAGTATTGCTAAAAAGAAAAAATAAAACAGCATTTAAGCAGACATGTTTAAGAAGAAATATTAAGGGGAGGACTTTATTAGTCTAAAGGGAAACTCAAATGGAATAACACAATATGATCGATATAAATTAGGTACAAAGAAATAGTGCCACCATTTGCATATTGCTAAGTCATCATCATCTAATTCAGGTTCCCTAGATAACTCTGAAGTCTACATAACTACATCACAGACCCGAGATCCTTAAAGGTCTAAGCCTTTTCCTTTCACTCAAAATTTCACTTAAATACTGCATGAAGATGCAGTAGTCAGAATCCTTATAGAATGACATATTTTGGTATAATAATTGTCAACTTGCTCATTGACTTCTATTTCCACAGCATGAGAAAAATACCTAGGGTTCTCAAAATTTCACAGAGAAGGTAGCTCTTGGACATACATTTTTGAGATATTAGTTTGAGATTCTAGGTCAAGTCCCTGTTACTCTATCTTGCCCAACCTCTAATCACATATATTGCTGCTCAGGTAACCTGATGAAGCAGAGTGATCCTTAAAGTGCAACACCCCTTGACCCCCATGTCTGATAAACATAATAAAACATTGAGAGGTGTTTTTTTTTTTATGCTATTGCTATCTGGTAAACTAAAATATTCTAATATTTATAAGTAAGGTAACAGAAAATATATATGCTCATTGACAATAAATATGATCACTGAGGAATGTTAGCATTTTTTATACTTCAGGTATTACACACAGACATCTCTTTAAAAGGCATAAGGTCTAGACATATGTGATCGAATTAAAGATGTCTTTTCCAACCACTCATGGATGATAATATTTTTGTAATATTCTTTCAAGTTTAGATAAATGGTTTTCTTTTTCTCTTCCTGTGCCAACAATGCTAGAGGAAACCAAACACTCACTGGTAACTGTGGCTCATTGTGATCTGCAGTTCTCACAGAATGCAATTATGTTGAAGAAGCACAAAGAATAATTCAGATACATTCTCCTAAATGGATATGTGTCATCCCTTTAGCCCACTCCTTAAGACTTTCTGAAGTGCAATAATTAAATGAATTTAAAAATCATAACTATCTCCGTTTTCTCCAGTATTCAAGGGAAGATACAAGAAAAACATTTTGGGCATTTGCAAGCATCTGAGTGCACGTTCAAAGAGGATAATGTGGAGGAGATTCAGCGTATAGGCCAGAGAATGTAGGAAATGGGGTTATAAACTTAAGAAAGACTGCTACCATTGCAGACACTCTCCCCAAGGAGAAGAGTCCATGGTCATTTAAAATCCCATTTACTGACTCTAGCTCCGTGCCCCATGAAACCGCAAGTTGTGGCAAAAACTACCGATGGTTATGAAGAGAAGGCATAGACAAACAAGAAAGGCCTTTTCTTACTCTTTAGGAGAAGACAAAGATGTAACATTTAAAATTGTTCTACACCTTGAATTTTTTGTAAAAATGTTAAAATACTGTCACATGCAGAAAGTATTTATTGAGTCCAGAACTGTTTCAGGTGCCTTGATGAATGAAAAACATATAGTTCCTTGCTTCAAGAAAGATGATATGATATTTAAGGCTAGAAAAAAATTAAATGGATGCATTGAGGTGAATACATGTAAGTGTATTTAGCTTGGTCTTGACTCTGTATCACCTAGAAAAGTGGTAGGGTGTTCTTTGGCAGTCTGTTTACATCATAAACCAACAAGCCATCAGAAGAAATAACTCATCCTGAGAGTAAATAGCAGTGCTAGAAACTGAACCAAGGGTAGGAGGAGAACTAGAAGGGAAGACATTCCTCCTGTCAGTGTTTCTTAGGCAAGCCTCAGTTATCAAACCTGAACATGAATGCTAGATGATTGTAATAAAGGGGGAAGGGGGAAACAAAAATGGTAAAAGCTTTTTCCTTCTATTGGGAAAAACAGGCAAAAAAAGTTTAGTGGTTATTCTGTCTACTGTATCCATCTGGGTTATTTCCACTTTTCATTGTTGTTGAGCTATTTAAAAACTCTGTAAATTGTAGAAAATAGATAATAATGTAAATAATATTTGTCCATAGAAACAAAAATTAATTATTGCTGGTGGAATGCAACTGATTATTGCTCCGTGCATAGATCTGTTTTGCCTATATTTGTAAACTTCAGCTTTTCTTATTGTTTATGTACGTGTGGTCCTTCAAATTCTCCTCTGAGCCAGTTGTAACATCTTACCGGTTTCCTCATTGATTAATGAATTAAATAACATTTTTGACACATTTTATAACTGCATGAACTTCACAATCATACCCTCTTTTAAAAATTGTTCTTTAACAGTGTATATAAAGTAGCATGGGTGGCAGCATTCATAAGGATGGCTGTAGGTTTTATTGTCTAATGTGTGAGGATAGGGCCATGGATCTTCGATCACCTTGACAGCCTCAGTGGATGTATCTGCCTTCCTGCCTATTCCCTCACTCCCTCCCTTAACAAATTATTTATTAAACCTATGTTATGAGCTGGACCTTTTGCTGCATGCCAAGGATATAAAGCAAAAGAGGCACAGTGGCTGCTCTTGGAGGGATTGTAATCTAGCAGGAAATACACCAATATGTAAACAAATGACTCCAGAAATACATTGGAGGTTTTAGAAAAATGATTTGAATATACAGACAATGGGGGTGGCAAGCAATTCTATTGGCTAAGGAGTCAATAAAGGCTTCTGAGGAAGTCCTATCTTTGGTGTTTATCAGCTTATCAGTTCTGTCATTTTTAACTGCAACAGCCACTAGATAATCCACTCCAGTGACTAGAGAAAGAGAATAATCCCACTAAGTAATCAAGAGAACTCCTGGGAGTCTCAGCATTACTTAAGAAGAATTGAGGCACTTAAGGTGTATTCCTCTTTGGTATAATTTAAAAAACACTGTTTGCTACCGTTGTTTTATTCTCATTACTAAACTTGCGCTGTCCGAAAGCTACAAGTTGCGTCTAGGCCGTAGAGGTCCTATAGAAGTTAAGAGATGACATTGTACTCTTAAAGATTCACAATGCTTATTAACACACTAAAGACTCTGAGACCCACTGTGTTAAATCTGTTCAACCTTTTATTGATATACCTTGTTCCTAAAATTATTTGGCTCTAGGATACCTAAATCCCTGGGCATCTATTGATACTTCTGGGGATATAAGTGTTTCATAAAATATGATTTGGGAAACCTTAGAGTAGAAGAATGTGACTGGCTTTGATATAACTGAAATATTTTTAAGGGCCTAGAGGCTTTATGGAAAAAGGGGAAAGAGTTAAGCTATGAAGGCATAAACTATGTATTTGTCCTGGAATCCTTTACAATAACTGTATAGGAAGACATGGTTTTAATACTAAAGCATTATTTTGTGAGACTCTGGGACTTTGGGGACTAAGCATGAAGTGAAAACATAAATAAGGTATGAGTTTGTTCCTGAGTGAAGCCCAAGGATCTCCCTAGAGTTTTAGGTTATGATACTCAACTGACTTCTTCCTTTTTGGCTATAGAATCTTACTTGTCATTCCATTAAAGGCTCTAGTAGGATATTCAGTGAACAGATTTGTGAGGGCAGAAATAAAGAGTCTCCCTTATGCATATGAAAGATGGGTTATTCTCCATTGGTCCCAAACAAAAGACCAGGACTCAGTTTCTTATTGTTCCTCTGCAACTGGCACCATAATCTAAGAAATTCCAGTTTGGTCTGTTCAGATGCTCTACTTAGACTAGTACAAATTAGTAGAAAATTATGGGCAAAAGCAAGTTGGTATAGGTCATTTACTGCTCACTCAAAAAGAGAATTTTTAATCTCTCAGCTGGAACAGCATGGAGAAGCTGGCTGTTTAGTGCTATGAAGGACAAGGATGTCAGCTGGGTGACATTTTCTCTGCCCTTGGCCCTATCCTGGCTGACATTTTCCCTATGGACCTAGAAAGAGAAAGGCAGAAAGTATGTTTGTCAAATATGGAGCTGAGCCAAAGTTTTGAGTGATGACACTGAATGACAAAATTTGACTTTAGAAAGATCTTGGTAGTTTGGAATGGTGGGCCAACATTTCCAGGATGAGACAGCAAAAGGAAAAGGAAAACACCTGAATTCAGGATAAATATTCAGGTTCATGTTTACTGCAAAGTATGGAATGAGGGTCACATGGCTCAATAATAGTACATTTTTAAAAGTCCTAAATATTTATTTGCTTTCAAGTTCAACATGATTTAATAAGTGATGGGGCAGCTATGAAAGCTAGTGAAATCCGATCACGCATTCATATAGGTAGACAGGTCAAGACAAAGGCTGTGATAAAGCCAGAATATTCTCTACTGGTTAGAACATATCTGGGATATTAAGTTCATTCCTGGGCTTCATCATTCATAAGAAACATGAAAAGTAGAGGCATCTAAAGGTAGGTGATCAGAATTTCATAAGGTCTAGAAAACACGTTAATCAATAAACAGCTTCAGATGACATGGTACATACAGCATGATAGTTTTCTTCAATGTCTGAAAGACTGTTGCATGAAAAAGGAAATGAAATCATTTCAGAGTAGTTTCCAAGAACAAGAGGAGGACCAATACATAGCTAGGAGTAGTAGAGAAGCAGATTTTGACTTGATATAAAGAATGCCTTTCTAGAAATAGTGCATCTTGAAAACCAAAACTGATACTTGTAAGTAGCGAGGTCCCATCACTGGCCGTTATCAAGTGGTGGCCAGATGGCTGGCCGTGTGCTAACAACACTTAGATGGCATCTCCCTATCTAAGCACCAGCCCCCATCTCAAGCAGGTTATTGGATATTTATTTCCACTTTCCTGCCATCATCTCTCACTCCCACATGGCAACAGGGAAACAACCCTCCTGCCTGATGTGCTGTTTTTCTCAGTGGAACCCTGCTTTCTCAGTCACTGGAGCTGAAACAACCTAAGTCACACTAGGCTCCCTTTCCCTCTTGCCCCGTATTTAGTCGCCAGCTTCCAATGACTCTCCCTTTCTTGCATCGCCC